TGATTTGGTGATCTGGATCGGTTAGGTGATCTCCTTTGATGTTGTGATTTGGATCGGTTAGGTGACCTAGATCGGTCCGGTGATCTGATTTGGAGTTGTGATCTGGATCCATTCGGTGATCTGGATCGGTCCGGTGATCTGATTCTAAGTTGTGATCTGGATCCATTAGGTGATCTGGATCGGTCCAATGATCTACTTCGATGTTGTGATCTGGATCGGTCCGGTGATCTGATTCGAGGTCGTGATCTGGACCCGTTTGGTGATCTGGATCGGTTAGGTGATCTGGATTGATCAGGTGATATGGATCGTAGTTGTGCTCTGGATCGTGACCATGATCTGGATCGGCACGGTGATCTAGATCAGGTTTGTGATGGTGATCTGGATCATGAAGGGTTTGGCGTAATAGGTGCCGAACTTCCTCAGATAAGTAAGAATCTGATGAAGCGTCCATAAAATCCTCTTGAACCACAGACGTCTCTCTCTTGCGTGAAGGTACGATTTTCTGTCACTGTAACTTGATACGCTTGGCGGGAGTGGGATCAGATTCTGTTGATTCCCTGTTCCTATTGCCGATTCTCCAGGAGCAAACACGAAGGTAGGCCTTAAAATCCTCATCTTTTAGTGAATTACACTTGCCACATCGTTTGTTCCAGTTTGTCCAATACAGTCACTGCAAGACAAGTGAGGGTCGAGGGACGAATAATTCGTCTTGCATTGAGCACAAACTTTCCTTTTCCTTGACTGATTATCTGTTTTCCCCATGATGTCATGGTGAAATAATGTCCCTAATATACAGCACGTCCACACAGTCGTGCGACAAGAAAGAGAATGATCATTCAAGGTAGTGGAGCATGCTGCAAGCTTTATTAGGAACTAGGAAGCTAATTAAGGAGAGCAGCATGGAGTGCACGGGCGAATGGACAAGGAGGCCTATGGAAAAAAGTTTACAGTCGTTCCACTAAAAGTCGAAGCAAGAGAGAGAGGTGCAAGTCGTGAGATAGGATAAGTTTAAAAATTTGCCTCTTTAAAGGATAGAATTACTCTACATCCATGGGCTTAGCATTCAGTACAGCCTTGGAGCAAGGCTAGTGAATGAGTGAGTGAGTTTAGTTTCATGCTGCACTCTGCAATATTCCAGATATATGGCGGCGGTCTGTAAATAATCGAGTCTGGACCAGACACTCCAGTGATCAACAGCATGATCATCGACCTGCGCAAATGGGAACCGATGACATGTGTCAACCAAGTCAGCGAGCCTGACCACCCAATCCCGTTAGTCGCCTCTCACAACAAGCATGGGTTACTGAAGACCAATTCTAAATTCTTCATGGCTAAACAAATACAAGGTACTGTGGATAAATAATCTAAAATAAACAACTGATGTGGGACATTCACGTACACTCAGTCACTCCGTTGAACCGGAAGCTGACAGGGGTAATGGAGGTGAAGAACGATTTGATATGCCACGAGTGGCACTTAAAATGTTGAATTATATTTTATGTTGAGTAATTATTCAATATGAGGTTGGAAATCTGAGAGCACAACCCTGTGAGGAAATGGGTGTCTAGCTTTAATGGTGGAAATATATTTTATTTTGATATTAAAAATATTTTTCGAACCAAAGCGAGGGAAGTATGTTGCCAACATATAGGATTAGGAAGACTAGTCATTTTCTCTTTGTTGTTTCCTATTTGCTCTATAGTTTGTCTATGGATGGTCAGACTCACTGACTTGCTTGACACGTCATATCCCAATATAGTAGCTCAATGCTCATGATGTCAATCACTTGATTGTCTGGTCCAGACTCAAATATTTAAGGACTTCTGTCATACAGCTGTAAAACTGCTCAGTGTATCATTAAACAACAAACAAACAGTCTGTTAATAACAGGATGCAACACAGGCACGCCATTACACTGGGAGAATGTGACAATGACAAAAACTTGTGACAAAAACCAGTAGCCATAAATGGTGGCAAATCACAATTCAGTGGTCTTGCTGATGATTTGTCAGTCAACATAAACTTGGTGGAGCATGTAAGCAAAACTACTGCCCATGTAGACCCTTTACTGTGGCATTACATCCATACTTTCTTACAAATTACTGCCCATGTAGCCCCTTACTGTTGCATTTCATCCATGCTTTCTTACAAATTACTGCCCATGTAGACCCCTTACTGTTGCATTTCATCCATACTTTCTTACAAATTACTGCCCATGTAGCCCCTTACTGTTGCATTTCATCCATGCTTTCTTACAAATTACTGCCCATGTAGACCTCTTACTGTTGCATTTCATCCATGCTTTCTTACAAATTACTGCCCATGTAGCCCCTTACTGTTGCATTTCATCCATGCTTTCTTACAAATTACTGCCCATGTAGCCCCTTACTGTTGCATTTCATCCATGCTTTCTTACAAATTACTGCCCATGTAGACCTCTTACTGTGGCATTACATCCATACTTTCTTACAAATTACTGCCCATGTAGCCCCTTACTGTTGCATTTCATCCATGCTTTCTTACAAATTACCACTACATGCTTTCTTTTCATCCATGCTTTCTTACAAATTACTGCCCATGTAGACCCTACTGTTGCATTTCATCCATGCTTTACAAATTACTGCCCTTATGTAGACCCTCTTACTGTGGCATTTCATCCATGCTTTCTTACAAATTATTACTGCCCATGTAGAACCTCTTACTGTGGCATTACATCCATGCTTTCTTACAAATTACTGCCCATTAGACCTCTTACTGTGGCATTACATCCATGCTTTCTTACAAATTACTGCCCATGTAGCCCTCTTACTGTGGCATTTCATCCATGCTTTCTTACAAATTACTGCCCATGTAGACCTCCTTACTGTGGCAATACATCCATGCTTTCTTACAAATTACTGCCCATGCATCCATGACCTCTTTACTGTGCATTACATATGCTTTTCTTACAAATTACTGCCCATGTAGACCATACAGATTCCTTAATGTGGCATTACATCCATGCTTTCTTTACTGCCCATGTACTGCCCATGTAGCTTACTGTTGCATTTCCATCCATTCTTACAAATTACTGCCCATTCTAGACCCTTTACTGTTGCATTTCATCCATGCTTTCTTACAAATACTGCCCATGTAGCTATACTGTTGCATTTCATCCATAAGCTTACTGCCTCATGTAGACCTCTTACTGTGTGGCATTACATCCATACTTTCTTACAAATTACCGCCCATGTTTCTTTACAAATTACTGCCCATGTAGCCCCCTACTCATTTCATCCATGCTTTCTTACAAATTACTGCCCATGTAGACCTCTTACTGTTGCATTTCATCCATGCTTTCTTACAAATTACTGCCCATGTAGACCCCTTACTGTTGCATTTCATCCATGCTTTCTTACAAATTACTGCCCATGTAGCCCCTTTACTGTTGCATTTCATCCATGCTTTCTTACAAATTACTGCCCATGTAGACCTCTTACTGTGGCATTACATCCATACTTTCTTACAAATAACTGCCCATGTAGCCCCTTTTACTGTGGCATTTCATCCATGCTTTCTTACAAATTACTGTCCATGTAGCCCCTTACTGTTGTGCATTTCATCCATGCTTTCTTACAAATTACTGCCCATGTAGACCTCTTACTGTGGCATTACATCCATACTTTCTTACAAATTACTGCCCATGTAGCCCCTTACTGTGGCATTTCATCCATGCTTTCTTACAAATTACTGCCCATGTAGACCTCTTAATGTGGCATTTCATCCATGCTTTCTTACAAATTACCTGCCCATGTAGACCCTTACTGTGGCATTTCATCCATGCTTTCTTACAAATTACTGCCCATGTAGACCTCTTACTGTGGCATTACATCCATACTTTCTTACAAATTACTGCCCATGTAGCCCCTTACTGTTGCATTTCATCCATGCTTTCTTACAAATTACTGCCCATGTAGACCTCTTACTGTGGCATTACATCCATACTTTCTTACAAATTACTGCCCATGTAGCCCCTTACTGTGGCATTTCATCCATGCTTTCTTACAAATTACTGCCCATGTAGACCTCTTACTGTGGCATTACATCCATGCTTTCTTACAAATTACTGCCCATGTAGACCTCTTACTGTGGCATTACATCCATACTTTCTTACAAATTACTGCCCATGTAGACCTCTTACTGTGGCATTACATCCATGCTTTCTTACAAATTACTGCCCATGTATACCTCTTACTGTGGCATTACATCCATACTTTCTTACAAATTACTGCCCATGGAGACCTCTTACTGTGGCATTACATCCATACTTTCTTACAAATTACTGCCCATGTAGACCCCTTTACTGTGGCATTACATCCATGCTTTTCTTACAAATTACTGCCCATGTAGACCCTCAATGTGGCATTACATTCATGCTTTCTTACAAATTACTGCCCATGTAGACCTCTTACTGTGGCATTACATCCATGCTTTCTTACAAATTACTGCCCATGTAGACCTCTTACTGTGGCATTACATCCATACTTTCTTACAAATTACTGCCCATGTAGACCTCTTACTGTGGCATTACATCCATGCTTTCTTACAAATTACTGCCCATGTAGACCTCTTAATGTGGCATTACATCCATACTTTCTTACAAATTACTGCCCATGTAGACCTCTTACTGTGGCATTACATCCATACTTTCTTACAAATTACTGCCCATGTAGACCCCTTACTGTGGCATTACATCCATGCTTTCTTACAAATTACTGCCCATGTAGACCTCTTACTGTGGCATTACATCCATACTTTCTTACAAATTACTGCCCATGTAGACCCCTTAATGTGGTATTACATCCATGCTTTCTTACAAATTACTGTGCATGCAGACCCCTTAATGTGGTATTTTATTTACTTTTCTTACAATTTTAAAGTTGTTAATGCACCATTTACTAAAACTGTGTGTGATTAGGGCTTGTTACGTGATTTTCCCAATCACTGTTCATGTTACTTACCACAATGGATGCCTCCTGTCGGCTTTGTTTGATGGCTTCAACAGATATTTCTGCCTCGGTTACAAGAATGGAAGACGCTGGAGGTCGAGGAACAGATTCCAAATGACTGAAAATTACAAAAATCCATTTACTGGTCACGTTATAGCTGGGTTTAACGCTGCTTTGAACAATGTTCCATTTATATAACCATGTGTCCAAATAAGGAGAGAGGAAAACTGAAGATGTAGGTTTATCTCTTCAGTGGAATCCACCAGAACAGGTATGACAAACTCCTGAAACAAATTCAAGACAAACCATCTTCAAAACCACCATGAAATTCTTCTGCCATGCCCAAAAGGAAATAGCTCTGCACTGCGAATTCTAGTGCCTTAGGCAACAGGCCACCAGTTTCCATATCAAAAGTGCACTGGGTTCCCTGGATAGAGATCAACATGATAGAGCAGCTTTGAAGAGTATTCTGGATACTACATGTTTATTATGTGATTGTCATTTTTTGCAGCACTCTAGAATAATTCTTTAAAGCCCTGTGAAGATCTGGGTTGGATTTGGTCTTCAGCAACCTATGTTGGTCGTAAGAGGCAACTAACAGGATCAGGTGGTCAGGCTCGCTGACTTGGTTGACACATGTCATCGTATCCCTGGATTTAAGGGCATGAATAATAATTATTAATTTAATGCAATTATTCTTATAACAAAATTTATGCCTTAAAGGTCACATGCAACGTAAAACACAACTTTGCAGATTCTGATACCTTTCGGTATGGGCTTACCGAAACAAATCATCATAAATGCAAATTCAACTTATAAAGTTAAAAGTAACGCGATGAAAAAAAACGCGCGAAATCATAGTTCAAACGATTCACTAATTTTCCCTCAGCGCTTGGGGGAATTCAAGTGGTTTCAACAGCTGGGCTGCGCTCATAGCACGTGCGCAGTGAAATAGGTTCGCGCAGCTTGGAAGCGAGTTGTCCGGTGAATACCCGGTGAAGGCTTTGGTGTGAGCTATTTTTCTAACGTTTTGTTGATTTTTCACAGGCGCGAGCTTTTTATATGTTATGACAGTAAATTAACTGTTTATATAATTTCATTTGTCTATTTCACCACACGTTCTTCTTACCGAGTCACTTTCTCAGTTCAATACTTAAAAGCAATGTCATTATTTAGCGTTGACAGAATTTCTAACTGTGATATAGATATGTCGTTGTCACAGACAACACTCAATGTCTGTTTTATTGACACCTGTGTGTCTGCCTGCCTGTCTGCTAATGACCATATTCAATACACAACTGCGATAACTGACCACATGCAATTTGAACTTAACACCAATCAGGCTATACACCATAAACAAAATGCATTGATTTATGGCCTATTTGGTTCTTGCATCATCACTGTATACTGTCTGAGCAAGAAAAGTCATCAACATCCCAATCAAGGTTTTTACCTTGAATAGACCCATGTTTATTAATCTGTGGGACAATACAAGAAATATAAGGGTCCTGCAACATAATGAATATAGTGTAGCGTACAGAAATGCAAAATTTAGTAAATATTTTAATAAAACAAACCTTTTATTTATTGTCAATGACCAGTATTATGCATCCTTTGAGATGCAATATATAATCTGCGTTCATTCTGTAAGTTTGTGCTTTACTGGCCTGCTAGCCTTTGTGCTACCCTGCCCTGCTCTTTTAAACGTGCAAAATATGCATTAGTCATACGTCTTATTATCATGTTTATACTGAAATAATTATGGAGCACCTTTAGAATTCAGCACCACAACCTCCCATGAGGATGTTCTCTGTCGTAGGTCACTTGTCATTGAGACAGGCAACCAGTTTGTGAGAATCTGTCGGACGCGCGAACTCGCGACCTTGAGATTGTTAGCCCAACAGCTAACTGAATGAGCTACGTACTGTTGCACAATGTGCAAATTTATTTAGTCATTCCTGAGCGGTTACGGAAATAGTAGAATAGTCACGGAGAATTACGAAATTTACGAGTAGCCTTGGTGTCTCGTGATTTGAATGTACGGAAAATTGACGAATGGTCCCGATGCCATTTGGCACACTCGTCCCATTCCGTAATCTACAAGATACCGTGTGATGTGGAATGAGCCTATATAGCGCAAACTGAAAACAGAAGCTGTTGACGTCAGGCGTTAGACGTTGAATTCACGGTAAATATACATGAATGATGTGCTTTTAAGAAAATCATCGGGTGATTTTGTGACAGAAAAGTGTTGTAAGGAACACTGTAAGGACAATGTGGATCATACTGAGGAATGAGGGAGGCATGAGCATGTCTGGTAACGACTCAAGGATGAGTTAACCTTTGAATCATTGCTGAAGAAATGTAGGCTCCCAAATATTGCGTGTGTAAAAATGGCTTAAGTGCAAGTTCCAAGATAATTTCCATCAGCCCAAATTTTTCGACATTAAATCATTTCATCACATACTTTCGACGTTAATTGGGTGAAAAAAAGCATTAGAAATGCAGGGAAGAAGAAGAAGAAGAACAACAACAACAAATGATAACACATACATTACACCTGACATCTATACCTACCATATTGGATTCTAGCCCTAACCCCTAAACCTGAACCTAGGCCCTTGAAAATAATCCTAATAAAATAAAACACACTGACCGAGCGGCACAAAAATGGCTGACGTGTATTTGCATTCCTACCGCTTTGAAATATATAATGTAAATAAATAACTCCATTCTTGTTTAATGATGCAAATTACTGAATGAAAAAAATCTATATGTATATTAGTTCCTATTTATAATTCATTTAGTCCTAAAAAATACGTTGAAAGCGAAATATAAAAAAATTAATTTTTAAGTGCTTTCATAAACTGGTGCTTGTGAAAAATTACGCATCCGCCTGGTAAACAAATATTTGAAACTCTCAACAAAGTTGGGCTTACACAATGACAAAGCTAGCAGATATGAAACATCAGTGAGGTTATACACACTCGCTGAGCTAGACAACCTCGTTGCTATGTCGGCGCCATAGGGCATTGTTTCGAGAAAGTGCTTTGAAATAAAATAACATAAAATTACATAAAAGGGTATTATGACATATTTTTAAAGTTTGTGGTGCTGTATTCTAAAGGTAGGCCGAAATTATTCGTTGGTTTCACATTACTTTTCAACTCGCTGTGCGTATGCGCAGAGCGTGCAAAAAATATCCACTGGCATGTTTCCGGTTTGGTCGTATGTTTTTCGATAGTGTAAACACTCCAAAGAAAACAAAAATCAAAACAAATATATAGTTTTATGTCGAATACAACTGATCCCAATTGACTTATGAAACAGAGGCCGGTATTAGTTAAATAAATAGCTTCATTTATGCTTACAAGCTCTTGTATAAAGACATCTCACCACCGTCCTTCCCGCACATCCCCTTCTCACAACTAAACTGTTTAAACAAGCACATCTTTGATGGAATTGCAACCAAAATAGGACATCAATTATTGAAAAGCAGAGTCAAATGGAAGTATGTACTCAGCTATGAAATAGGGCTGCCTCGAATACACTACGTGGCGAATATGATATGTATCACGAATATTGGGTAATGAATACGAATAATTATTCACGAATATTGTAGTTAACTGATTGATGCACAATATCGACGCCCATGTTGACAGTGTTAATTTGTCACAGCAATAACCACTGAACCAGTGATCCCATGACACTCAAATATGTATGTAATAGTTATAGTCAACAATACCATGTGTGGCCTTGGCAAACTAACATGACTTGTGCTACTGCAAGGCTATCTCACTTTGAAAAAGGACACAATGAACCCTTATGTCCTATTCTCCCTTAAAAAATTGTAAATATTCATTAATATTCGGTTCTGGTGACCACGAATTACGAATTGAATTCATGAAGGGCTTCGGTTCAATTCACTGAATATGCGAGTGAATCGTAACAGCCTTACTATGAACAGTTTCACAACAGCTCTTATTTAGAGTGCATTTACTCTATCGATAAACATACGATCAAACCGGAAATATGCCAGTGGATATTTTTCACACGCTCTTCGCATGCACAGCGACTTGAAAAGTAATGTGAAACCAACGAATAGCTATAACCATGATAACAATTTTGAAGAAAAAGCCAATCCATATTTCAATACTTTCAAACTTGGAGTGCTGATTCCCCTTAATAACATGTCTAAAGAGGATCCTACTTTAATTTTTACATGATTTGAATGTTGGGACACATCCATATCTAATTAATAACGTAAGGCTTATGGCAAATATATATGGCTTCACAACATACACTTCATTAATCACCATTTCAATTGACTATACAATAAAAAATAAATAAAACAACTTGAGCCTAATTTGTAATAATATTTCAACTAAATATATGCCATGCATGCCGGTTTCATAATTCATATTCTACTTTGACTTCCTCTCCCACCATTTCCTCATACGCAAGATGAGGAAAATTACTTTCAGTTATTGTTCTGCGTGCTAATAACTGCATTCCCCTATTGTTCATGGACAAAAGCATGGCCGCATTACGAGCAATCACAGGTTCAATTCCAGAAACAACTTGGAAAGTTATCATTGGTTGTACGGCCCCGCTTGTATTTCTAAAACCAAACAAAATACAAATAAACACACGTCCATTAACTCACGAAAACAGGTGTCCAATCAGGATTGGTCACAAACGTAAACGGGGACCTGCTTCGTGAGAAACATCAGTTCACTATTTGGCTGAGTCTTGTCAAGTTTCGTAAAGGAAAAATCTTTTTCACCATTCTCAATTACTTACTCTTTCACAGTGTCGGCACCGTTTTGCATTATGGGTTCTGGCATAAAGAGCAGTTTTGTGTCTTTTTCCGAAAACGCATCACTGCCCACGCGCCATTTTGTAGCTTCCGCCGGAATTTCGTTAAAGAGGAGACAACTCTTATCACTCTAACGTCGGCAAATCGAAGCTTTTTATTCGACGGTGATTACGAAGGACTCCAACTGATTATGAGCAATATATAAACCAAAATAATTTGTCTGTACAAACCAGGGAAAGACTTCCGTCTGTATCCTCCCCCCCCCTTAAATTTCATTCTAGTCAAATCATATTACCTGAATATATTTATATTCCTCATCTGATAAGGATGAGTTTTACATATCTGAACATACTGAAAGATATATCCAGCTTCTAAAAGTACCACACAAGGAATTTGTTCCTCATCGTTAAGATTTAGGGGGAATACGGGCGGTAGTCTCACCCCAACGAGATTAATTGTCTATGATAAACTTGATAAATATGCAGCACAAAATGTAAAAATATTTTACAATGGAGACGATAGAAACTAAGAAGCATCGTGAGTCGAACGTAAAATATTAACTGACGACCAGTGAATCCTAAAATGAGCACAATCTCCACCTTCTACACCGTATAACTGAGTAGTGTTTTCAAATAGCACTTTGTTCAACCGCTTCCAATTTTCAATAGAGCGATTTATAGCTTATCTGTAATGTCAACATGATTTCTATACTTTACTGTATTGTATTATTACTGTAGAGTTAGAGAGAATAGACAATACATTGTGATTTTCACATTTGTCCAGAGAGAGTTTTGAAAAAGCTCTTCGAAGTTCGTTTAATCTCTCCGAATTTTCGATACAGTAACTCGCTGATCTCTCATTTAGGGACCGTTCATAATTTATACCAGGGATACTCTACAACAGGGATAGGTCACTCGCTTGCTTATATAGTCTCCCTGTTTATACCTAGGGTGGGTGATGATGAGAACCATGTACAATGTGGATCTCTCTCTCACACTCACACACACACACACACACACACACACACACACACACACACACACACACACACACACACACACACACACACACACACACACACACACACACACACCACCCCACCTAAACTTTATGTGCAAAGTAAGTGCCCCCACCCCCACCCCTTTTGGCATGTACAAAATCAATTACCCTCCCCCATAGGCGGATCCAGAAGGGGGTGCAGGGGTGCCACCACCACCCCCACCACCCAGTCCAGTCATAAATTATGAAATTATGAACGGTCCCTTAAAGTGAGCATGATTTCTTTAAAAAATACTCTTGGCTGTATTGTATAATTCCTGTATTGAAAAACAATAACAGGGTCGGATACAGCTTTTTGAGAAAGGGGGGGGTGCACACTATTGAGAAAAGGCAGGGTGCACACTTCATTTTCACCAGAGTTTCAATGGTCATTTAATAAACTTTCAGGACAAAAAGGGGATGCAGGGGTGCGCACCAACCCCCCATCCCCCTTCTGGATCCGCCTATGAATAATATCGTTGTTTGCTTAAAGGTCACATGCAACCAAAAAATCAAACATAATTAAAACACAATTATCACTTATTCATGACATATAATATACATTGCTGGTTACGAAAAAATATATAAACAAAATTATAAGCGTACAATCGCAAATCAAAAGTGCAATATTGTGTACTTGGGTTTACTTCCCAAGAATCGAAGCAGCCGGGATACCGAACCCAGTCAGAGCGGGTGGGTGTGCACTCAAGTGTAACGGCTGGTTCATTTGCAGATGCCTTCACGGCTAATTGTGTGTATATATATATAGAGATGTTGGGTTTTGTAAATACATGCTCATTTTTTGTGTATAACATTTTGCAATCAACAGACATCATAACATGTCATGTGTTCAAGTATCACACCTGCTTGTCTGTGTAATTACATAATGTGACAAAGACCGAACTCGGGCCATAAATCAATGCATTTTGTTTATGGTGTATAGCCTGATTGGTGTTAAGTTCAAATTGCATGTGGTCAGTGATAGCAGCTGTGTATTGAATATTGTCATTAGCAGACAGGCAGGCAGACACACAGGTGTCAATAAAACAAGACATTGAGTTTTGTCTGTGACAACGACATATCTATATCACAGTTAGAAATTCTGTCAACGCTTAATAATGACATTGCTTTTAAGTATCGAACTGAGAAAGTGTCTCGGTAAGACTGACTGACTGACTGAGTTTAGTTTTACGCCGCTTTTAGCAATATTCCAGCAATATCACGGCGGGGGACACCAGAAATGGGCTTAACACATTGTGCCCATGTGGGGAATCGAACCCGGGTCTTCGGCGTGACGAGCCAACGCTTTAACCACTAGGCTACCCCACCGCCCCGTCTCGGTAAGAAGAACGTGTGGTGAAATAGACAAATGAAATTATATAAACAGTTAATTTACTGTCATAACATATAAAAAGCTCGCGCCTGTGAGATATCAACAAAACATTAGAAAAATAGCTCACACCAAAGCCTTCACCGAGTATTCACCCGACAACCCGCTTCCAAGCTGCGCGAACCTATTCACTTGCGCACGTGCTATGAGCGCAGCCCAGCTGTTGAAACCCGTTTTCCCCAGAAAAGTCTGGGGAAAATTAGTGAAACGTTTGAACTCCGATTTCGCGCGTTTTTTTTCATCGCGTTATTTTTCAACTTTATAAGTTGAATTTGCATTTTTGACGATTTGTTTCGGTATTTCCATACCGAAAGGTATCAGAATCTGCAAAGTTGTGTTTTACGTTGCATGTGACCTTTAAACCTCACGAAAACCTTGTCTGATAAATTAGTTTTTTAGAAACATATACGAATATTGTGTCTTTTAAAACACCCCTCTGAATCTCAAACGTTCAGAACGCAATCGGTTAGCAATATGACTGTAAAGTCAGTGACATCGTCAGTTCGAGAATTAGCTGAAAACTACAATTGCCACATTATTAGTTCTCACCATAGTAATTAAGACCCAGTAAATGATCTCACGTGTCAAGCGGAAGTGACCCATATGGTTACCTCCATTGTCATCTGGACAAAGCACGTGGACATCGCTGACCGACATTGAGAAATAACTGGATCAACAATAGGATCGACGAAAGATATCACATATGCACTTTTCCTGTGATTGTTAATTGTATGTCCGTTAGACCCTATTCTGTATCCTTCAGTCGGGCACGGTCAATCCTCTCTACGGTAAAGCAAGTAGCTATACATAGTTACGTCCCTTAGCCATTTAAGGATCCGATGATTTGAAGTCTGTAATCCCACATTTTTCTGATGTTTTGTTTGTTGGCACTAAACCCCAGCTCGCATAAAGTTCCAGGGCTGATATAACATCTGACATTCTTCCTGTACATTTAGAGGTGAGCTGAAATGAGGTTTAACGTCGCACTAAGAATATTTGGCTCATATGACGACGTGCATGTGTGGTTGCTTGTACTAGCCCAGACTTAAGCTGGTTTTATAGTGCTATCTCACTGAGATATCATGCCGCAGTTCAGCATGAATACCCCATTCAGACACATTATACCGACTCGAGCCGACCAGTCCTTGTTGTACCCATTAATGCCGAGCACCAGGCAGGGACCAACAAGTACCATATTTTAACGTCCTTTGGTGTGAAGCGGCCGGGGATCGAACCCGCGATCTTCCGCTCTCCGGGCGGACGCTGTAACCATTACACCACGGAGGCGTTTGTACAGTTTGACGTGATCCTTGAAATGAGCGAAATATTATCATAGCGGCGTTAAACCCATGACTCACTCACTCAAGTCTCACTAGTTCACTCACCCATCCCACTATTTCGTGGGCGCTGCTCACGGTAGCCTAATGTTTAAAGCATCCGCTCGTCACGTCGAAGGCCCGAGTTCGATTCCCCACATGAATACAATGTGTGCCCCCATTTCTGGTGCCCCCCACCGTGATATTGCTGGATTTTTGCTAAAAGCGGCGTAAAACCGAACTCTGTACGAACGGTAGGATTGGGGTTAAACTAGCTGTACGAACGGTAGGATTGGGGTTAAACTAGCTGTACGAACGGTAGGATTGGGGTTAAACTAGCTACATATGAACGGTAGGATTGGGATCAAACTAGCTGTACGAACGGTAGGATTGGGGTTAAACTAGCTGTACGAACGGTAGGATTGGGGTTAAACTAGCTGTACGAAGGGTAGGATTGGGGTTAAACTAGCTGTACGAACGGTAGGATTGGGGTTAAACTAGCTACATACGAACGGTAGGATTTGGTCCCAATACTGTATGGCAGTAGACAAGACGAGATCGACCATTGGTACAAAATACCCTCAAACCTCAAATTACGCTAACCCTCCGAATCGGACAACCACTATCCCACGAACAGAACACTGTGCCACACACGTGCCCTACCATCGGTAAAGGGGAACGTGAAACATGACAATTGACAATACTGTTCCTCTGGATCTAGTTGAATCTGGCATGTCTAGGGACCCACCATAAACAATTCCTGATGATCTGTGCTAAGCCTCTACCTCTGACTAACTGTCTGCTGGTGCAGGTTGTGGTCACAAGATTTGTTACGGTGATGACGTAACTTCTGATTTGTACGTCATCTTTGCGTGACGTCACGTACGCGCGGTCTAGCCTTGTTCTGCATCACTCACGTTGCTGACTCGTGAGTGGCGACATACTCTCTTTTTGACTGAACAAGCAACTTTGATGCGTTTCCATGTTTAGCCTTGCCTGTATGTTCCAATGCACATGTGATCGCTAAGGTGACCACGTGACTCGTTGCACGTGCTTTTGTGCTCCACGCTAAAAATATACTCATGCCAATAATGGTTGTCACCCCCCTGCCTGTTAATAAAATTGAAGGGGGTGACAACCATTAATTATTGGCATGAGTATATGATCACATATTTCACGTCGGTCGCCAAAACCAAGTTCAAAGAGCCTGCTTGTCACTGCCGTGTGTATGGCACAACACGAAACTAAACATAATAACACTCTAATTATTACCAGTAATGTTGGTGTCAGTTTTCTAATTTTGTTGAGCATATCTGGGAATGTACGTGAGGTTTACGAGGCTGATACCCGTCTTC